ATCTTCTAGTAGTGACAGTGAGGAGGAAACAACACACCAAATAAAGGAGAGGCCAGACACAGTGGGAATAGCAAAGCGTCCATTTCAGAACAAAACAGTAAGTGATAATCTAGAAACACAGTGGCCTGTTGTAGATCTTGGTAATATTACTTGCATCAAGAGACGTTTGGACATCAAAGCCCCATTACCACCCCCTAATTTATTATTAAGTGGTGGGAGTACGAAAACTACAGTGGAAGGAAAGAAAGAGAAAGCTATCAAAATGAGTTCCACTTATTTATCAAGCAGCTCAGATGAGCAAGAGAAAGGTATGGAAGATTTAAATAACCACCCGACAACAGTGGAACCAGATTCAGATTCAAGATGGCCTCAATTGGGTCTTAGCAGTGCCCCCCATTTGAAAAGACGCCTGGATATCAGGGCACCTTCACCTTCACATGAGTCATCTTCCAGTAGTAATGAGAGTGAAACTACAGACCTACCTGTGAAAGTGGAGAGGGACAGAACTGATGTGGGGATTACAAGTCATCAACCAGGTACAAAATTGCCTGACTTGAATATGAGTATCCCCCTCATTAAGAGACGTTTTGATATCAAAGTACCGCAATCTGAATCAACCTCTTCCAGAAGCGATAGTGAGGATGAGAACAGAGACCATGCTACAGTAGGATTGGGAGCATATGCCATATCAAAGGCCACGGAAAAGGAGTTCATTAGATCTCCAAAGATCATACATACTTCTCGCAGTCCAAAGACAGACCAAAATATCAAATTAGAAAAGTATACAGTTATTACAGATGATATGGGGAACAAAACAAGAACTGACAACATCAATACAAAACCAGAGATAAATCCAGAACTTGAGTCACGATGGGCCACAATGAATCTTGGTATCTCCCGCTTCAGAAAGCGTCTTGAAATCACATTGCATACACATGAACCACCAAACCTGCCCTCATCGCCTCCACCTGACTCCCCTTCCTCTTCCAGCAGTGAAAATGGGACTGGGAGTAAAAGCAGTCAAACAAGACAAAAGAAAAGGGTAGTTGGGAGGCAAGTAGAAATGGCACCTGGTACACCACCATTACAGCAACTGCCTGATTCCTCCTCCAGCAGTGATAACAAGGATGCATCAACAGACCATGCAGTTAAGGAATGGGGAAAATCTTTGCTGCCTGTTACTGACAAACAAACATCCCAGATTCATACCTCCCTGTATGTGGCCCAAGCTGTCAATAACAAACTGGATCAATCACAGAACCAAACTGAGGAGGTGAAGAGGAAAGCCAGGGTAGAGATCAAAAGCCATACATCAAAAGACGAAGACAAGTCTGACTCAGTGCAGCCTCATTTGAGTCTCTCCAATATCCCTCATGTCAGGAGGGCTTTGGATATAAGAGCACCATTACTTAGGGAAGCATCATCCAGCAGCAACAGTGAGAATGAGATGATAGAGAACAGTGTTCCTGACCTGAGTCTTGGTGTCCCGCGCATTAAGAGGCGTATGAATGTCAAGGCACCATTACCAGGGCCAAGTAATTCCCCATCTTCCTGCAGCGAAAACGAAAATGAGGTGACAGGATACACTGCAAAACAAAGCAGACATGCATCAAATATGTCAGGAATAACAGATGATGACTCTCTAATCAGTTACAAGCGCGTAATTTTCAAAGATTCATCACAGCTGAGTAACTTGCACAGTGGCCAAACTTTAGACCACACACATCAAAGACATACAGGAGCTAAAATGGTAACTGTTGCACAAGAAGGTCCATCCCCTACTGTGGGAAGTACAAATGCATCTCTTGCCCCAAAGAGAGTTTCCAGTATGAGCTTTGATGATATAGTAAAGAGAAGGATCGAGCAGTCCAGACACACCACAGACCTGCTACCTGAGATAAGGTGGAGTGGCGTCGGTCGTCAGCAGTCTGACCTTTCTATTTCCAGTCCGAGGAGACGCCTGGATGTAGGCTTATCGACACCACAGCAGGCTCAACCTGCAGAGCCAGAACTTCCCCCTCTTGATTCCCTCAACTACTCCAGTAGTAAAACCGATGATAAAATAAAACAAGACAGAGAGAAAGCAGATGGGACATTAATGCATAAATACACATCTCTTAGTGCCAGTAGTAGTAGAGTTCTTAACAAGTTTGACAACTTACCCAGCAGCACAAATGAGATTTTAAGGGCTGCACCTGAGGACAGGAGGGAAAGGAAAGGCCTCAGTGCCATAAAGGCCATTTCATTGGAGAGACGAAAGTGGGACATACAAGCTGAAAATTTAGATAAGGGTGCATCTTCTCTTTTTGATGACCATAATCAAAAAGTTGACACATTTTTTAACTATCAGACGTCAGAGGAGGAAATCAAACCCATGACTAAACAGCCACTGACACAATTACATGTTTCCTCTTCTTTAGGAGATAAGATAAGAGCTACAGATTTATTGTATGGTATTCCCCGCTACAGGAGGCATGACTTTGGAGGTATTGAACCACCATGTGAGGCTCCACCTCCTATTCCAGCAACACCACCACCAGATGAGGCAATAGGTTTTACATGGAGGTCTCCACAGAGCAGTATGAAACAAGGGTCGGAAGGCACCAGATCCTATCTGCAACAAAGCAGTAAGACAGAGGTATCTGACCCTTCTTCAGTTACATCACAAAAACTGGCAGTCTATTTTGACTCCTCAAACATTAACATTAGTCATGTCTAAGAAGCCACTGCATCCTTAACACAAAAACAAAAAATAAGTGTCTTGATCTTAAATTGGCCAGTGAATTACACAAATATTGTGAATGATGTTCTATTTTTACATGTATTAAGCTGGAAATGAAATGTAAATACTAATAATTTATTGTGTGGACTTGTAGAGTGCAGCAGACACCATGTTTATCTTTCAGATTTACCTTATTTCCCTAAATCACTCACACTTAAAATCATCCATGACAGAAATGTCTTCCTGTAATACATTTTGCAAGAATTCATATCATCTTTGTGATCATTCATTTTTAATACACTTATTGAGAAACCTTAATAAATCCATATCTCTGAAAATATAATGCAGTTTTCATTTGTAGCAAAATACATCTAGGTAATGACCTCGACAGTATTACTGATCATACTTAATAATTTTTGTTATGGACAAACTGTTAACTTAAGAACCCAATTATAAGCCAGTAAGTTAATAAACCCTTTTATTTATGTATATAGACATAGGTTATAGTGAAAACAGACATATAGACACTTACATAGTTTACATACATATATACAGTTGGGA